ACACGCAGCAGATGGAAGAATTTTATAACCGCATTCCCGACCTGACCGAAGGGGAAAAAGTGCAATCGTACCTCGCAGGGCTGAAGACCGAAGTCAAACGACAGGTGGCAGCGTCAAACTACGCGAGCTACAGTGACGTCGTTTCGGCCGCGGAGCGCTTCGACATGGTCAACGCCGGAACACGACGGACGCACGTCGGCAGTACGCGACAGGGCGACCGCTCGGCTCACCCCACGTTCGCCGACCCGATGGAAGTCGACAGATTCGAGGGGCGGCCACGTCCGAAAAACACCAACTACACGTGTGATTTTTGCGGGGTGCCGGGCCACCGAATCTTCGACTGCAACAAAATGAAGGCCGCACGCGCAGAGTATCGGGCACGCAACAGTGGCGGAAATCTTCCGGCCAATCAGAAGACAAAAAACGGGAGTCGCCAGTGATTGCGGATCTAGCTGGCGAAAATAAAAGATCCGGAAACGGCCGCGGGATTCCGAGAAAATCAACTTCGACGAAGCTGATTCGACGCGAGCAGGAGGAAATGATGGGGGAAAATCTCCACCCCACGACCAGTCTTCGCCAGGGAAATTCGCCGAGGAAAAATCAGACTCCGCGAAAAAAGACTCTGCCGAGACAGGGAAACTCCTTGAAGACCCAAGAAATTATAAGAGTTCGTTAAAGTTATCTTATAAAGATGCTTTAATGAAAACTTATGATTTTCGAGGGGCTAGAGCCTTGGAGAAAATATGGGAGGGACTCCAAAAAAAGCAGAAAGCTGTGGAGATCATACCGGTACCGGACAACATGGGGAAAAAATTAAGGAGTGTGGAAAGAAGCCGACCTTTCCACGGAGTCAACGTCCTCTCCCGACACCAGCCCACATCGACTACCCGTTCCCCAGGGAAGACGTCAGTGGAGCTGAAGCAGCTTAAAAGGAAGCTGGGGGTCTACAAAAAGCTGCAAAAACCCCGAATTCCTTCTACGGATGCATCCAGTTCTTCGGCATCAACGACACGCACAGTCGTCAAGGAAACTCCGGGCCCTGGAGAAGAGCCGTTCTCCAAGCAGCCTCGGCCAGCTGCTAGCTCAGGAGCAGATAGCAACGAAAAGGTGTGTACGGATTATTGGGATGTACCCTATGACCCCATTAATGAGACTATCTTTGGGTACTCCGAGCAACGCCCGCCCCTCGTGCTCGAGGTCATCTGCAAAGGACGACGCCTCCAAGCACTCGTGGACAGCGGAGCATCACACACCGTCTGCGACAAGGCAGTAATCGACCGACTTCGGGAAGAGTACAAGCCTTCAGGATTCTCTGCAACGATGGTGGACGGCAGCAAGTTACCAGTACACGGCGAAGCAGTGCTACACCTACAAATTGGACCACTGCGCTGGAGACCTGCACTCCCCATCACCAACATCAAAGGGCTTGACTTGATCTTCGGGCGAGACTTCCTGAAAAAATTCAACCCCGAGATCAACTGGGTGAACCGCACCGCAAGCATCTACAACAAAGGACGGAGAGTACAGCTACCCAACTGGGACGATACAGGAGATATCCCAGTGGAGACACTCGCACGATTCGAGAAGGACGTGAAGCGAACCGACACCGGGTTCCTAGCAATAGCAACAGAGGTGGAAGACGACAAGGAGAAGGTCTCGGAACCTCCAGGGAAAATCAAGGAATTGCTGAAGGAGTTCCAAGACATCCTTCCTGACGACCTACCGAACGAGCTACCGCCATACCGCACACATCAACACGAGATCGTGGAGGAACCAGGTTCGAAGCCGACCTTCCGAGCACCATATCGGCTCAGTCCTACAGAGCTGACCGACATGAAAAAGCAAATCGAGTATCTCCTAGCCAAAGGACTCATCCGACCATCTACTTCGCCATACGGTGCCCCAGTACTCTTCACCCCGAAACCGGACGGGAGCCTGCGCATGTGCATCGACTACCGAGCTCTTAACAAGCAGACCATCAAGAATAAGTATCCGATACCACGAATCGATGACCTGCTTGACCAGCTTCGGGGAGCTACGGTATTTTCCAAACTGGATCTGCGGTCCGGATACTGGCAGATACGGATGGCGGACAACTCTATCCACAAAACTGCTTTCCGAACTCGGTACGGATCGTACGAGTATTTGGTCATGCCGTTCGGACTCACCAACGCGCCGGCAACATTCCAAGCCGAAATGAACCACATTCTACGACCACTTCTGGACGAATGCGTGGTGGTGTACCTGGACGACATACTCATCTACTCACGCGACATGAAGCAGCACGTCGAACACCTGCGACGCGTCTTCGAAATTCTTCGACGAGAACGATTCTACGTCAAACTGTCCAAGAGCGAATTCGCCCTGGAGAAGGTCCAATTTCTAGGCCACATGGTGAGCGCTCAAGGAGTTCACGTCGACCCCAAGAAGATCGAAGCCGTACGTACGTGGAAGACACCCGAGAACGTGAAGGAGTTGCAGCAGTTCCTAGGCTTCGCTAATTACTACAACAGGTTCGTGCCACAGTATGCGAAACTCGCGGCACCACTCACGAATCTGCTGAAGAAGAACACGCCCTACAAATGGGAGACGAAGCACCAGGAAGCCGTGGAGCAACTGAAACAAGCACTGACATCCGCACCGGTACTCATCTTGCCAGATCCCGAACGTGACTACGTCATCGAAGCAGACGCCAGTGATCAAGCCGTGGGTGCAGTCTTGATGCAAGACCAAGGGAATGGACTGCAACCCATTGCCTACCTCAGCAAGAAACTGCACGGGGCAGAACTCAACTACCCGATACACGACAAAGAGGCTCTTGCTATCATCATCGCCTTCAAAGCGTGGAGATGCTATCTCGAAGGACGAAGAACAACCGTCTACACCGACCACTGCAGCCTGAAATATTTGAAGACACAACCCAACCTTTCCAGGCGGCAGGTCCGGTGGATCGACTTCCTCGAGACACACTTCCACTACGACATCGTGTACAAGCCCGGCCACAAGAACAAAGCAGACGCGCTCAGCCGGCCTGCACACGTTGCCGCGATTCAGGTCGAAGGGATGAATCCACTACTCAAGGGACTCTTCACACACGGGTATGCCATCGACCCCGAAATTTCCTTGGCAGAAAAGCGACATCTGCTACAGTGGGACAGTGACATCGCGTACCGGAAGGGATCCACAAAAATCTGGGTACCCAATTACCCTCCTTTGCGCCAGTTACTACTCGAAGAATACCACGACGTCCTCTACGCCGGACACTTCGGTAGCAACAAGACGCTCACCGGTATCGCCAAACACTACTACTGGCCCCATATGGCAGACGACGTCCAGAAATTCGTCACCTCATGTGATACATGTCAGCGGATGAAGAGCAGCAAGCAGAAAAAGGCGGGACTACTGCAGCCTCTTCCTGTCCCAGAACAACCATGGCAAGTGGTTAGCCTGGACTTCATCACAGGGTTACCACCTACCACCACCGGTCATGACGCGATCCTCGTCGTCATCGACAAATTCTCTAAGATGGGACACTTCATCCCGACACACACGACGGCACGCACCGAGGAGACAGCACAACTCTTTGTTCGCTACATCATCTCACAGCATGGCATTCCAACAACACTCATCTCCGACCGAGACCCCAAGTTCACCAGCAAGTTCTGGAAGGAACTCATGTCTCTGCTCGGTACCAAACTCGCCATGTCATCTGCATACCATCCGTAGACAGACGGACAGACCGAGCGCCTCAACCAAATTGTTGAGCAACTCCTCCGAGCAGCCTGCAAGGACGACATCTCCAAATGGGACTTGCACCTGCCCGTCCTGGAGTTTGCCTACAACAACGCTACACACGCCGCTACGGGACAGACGCCGTTCTTCCTCTGCTACGGACGTCACCCACTCACACCACAGAAACCGACAACACCAGCAACAGTCCAACCTGCACACGACTTCATCATAACCATGCATCAGCTTTGGGATCGGACCCATAAGCGCCTCCTTGACATTCAACAGCAACAGAAGCGCCAGGCCGATCGCCATCGCAACGACCACACCATTTCCGTGGGAGACCAGGTGCTTCTCGACACCCGCAACCTGGACGTCAGCCACCTCCCATCTAAACTTCGACCTCGCTTCTGCGGGCCTTTCCTCGTTGAAGCACAGGTCACTCCTGTTACCTTCCGCTTACGCCTACCAGCTACCTGGAAGATTCACAACGCCTTCCATGTCCAACTTCTGAAGCCCTATCGGGATCCTAATACGATCTTCGTCGGACGCCAACCGCCGCCGCCGCCGCCCGTCCTCGTCCAAAATGAACCCGAGTACGAGGTCGAGTCCGTGCTTGCACACCGCCGTCGTCGGAATGGCACCGTGGAGCTTCTTATTCGTTGGAAGGGCTATGATCCTTCTGAGGACAGCTGGGTCTCTGAGACCGACATGGGTAACGCCCGTCGTCCTCTGCATGACTACCTTGTCAAGCAGGGTGTTACTTCTACCACCCAGCTTTGAGGGGGGGAAGTGTGAGAGTACGACTCCGTTACGCCACTTGGCCTTTTCCATATTTCATCTTCATTTCAGTCCTCTTTTTATCTCATCTCCTTTTGCCTCATATTCCCCATTTTCCATTATCCTTTGGTTTCTTCCCTTATTATAATTATATCACCGACCAAGCATGGAATGTTCTAGACACGCTATCTAGCGTAATCCTGTCGTAATCTCTTAAACCCAATAGCCTCGCGTGGCTATACGCAGGGTGATTCTATCTTCTAGAAGGGTCTATTCCCTTAGGATAAGATAAACCTGGTTACTTGATGTACTCTGGAAGTATAAAAGCGCCTTGTACTGATCGATAGTGCAACCTTTCCTCGACACATTCGATCCTGTGACAGTGGCTCTAGAGGGAGGGGAGGGGGGAGAGTGGAGGTGCCTGCACGAGTGGTCACGTGGCATGAGGAGGGGCGGGGTGTGCGGAGGATGTACTGACGAGAGCGAGGGCAAAGTGGGAGGCGATGAAGGAGGCGGCGAGTGGGGCCGTGGAGGAGGTCACAGTAGGTGGCAGAGGCGGGGAAGAGGGTAGTGATGCCAGCCTGTTGGAGTTCACGAATGGAGAGCAGGTTATGACGAAGGGAGGGAATGTGGAGACCAGTGACCACTCCAGAGGGGAAGGGGGGGCAGGGGAGGGTGGAGAGATGAGTGCAAGGGATGGAGAAGCTGGAATCAGCACCATGAACGTTGGTGGGGAAAGGGAGGGAGGTGAGGGTGCGGGCGTCTTTGAGGGCAGTTTCAGTGGCACCACTATCGAGAACAAAGTCAATCGTGAGCGAGGAGGGAGCTGAAGACACGGGGTACTGGAAATCACTGGCATTAAAAACAGAGGGATACATGGAAGTGGAAGCAGGGGAAGAACGCATGAGCTCGCCTAGAAAGCTGGAGTGGGAGGCGGGAGCACTAGGGGAAGGAGAGCCCTAGAGGGGAAAGCCAGGAGGACCTGGTGTGGCTGTGGCAGCCATGGCGGCGGTGCCAAAGCCAAGCTGCTGCTGCTGCCATGCAGATGCTGCGGCTGCGGCTCCTGCAGCTGCGGCTGCAGCCTGACCACCAGAGCCCCACTGCTGCTGCTGCTGCAGCAGCTGCAGCTGCTGGAAGCGGCGAAACTGCTGCAGCTCCTGGGGAGTTATGGGGTCAGCGATAGAGGAGGAGGAGGAGGAGAGCTGAAGATGAGAGAGGAGAAAAGACGGAAGAGTTTTGACATCCTGGAGAGAGGGGCGGGGATGCATGGCAGACCAGCGTGGGGGTGTGCCAGTGTTGCCGCGCTCGAACCAGGCGTCATCATACGCCTTGAAGCAGGTCGCGGGGGGATGGTTGGTTTGGGTGCAGCGCTCACCCGCCCTGTGACCAAAACGGCGAAGATAGGAACATGGGGGGAGAGTGCCAGGGCGGCCACCACGGCTACCAGATGAGCCACCACTGCCTCCACCACCACCACTGCTGCCACCCTCGACCCCGCCACCACCGCCGCCGGCTCCGCTGCCCCCACAACCGCCACCTCCACCCCCTCCCTGAGGGTTGGTGCGGCCGCCACGTGGGCGCCCGCCACGACGCGGCTGTGTGACTGCAAGCTGGGGGTTTTGGGACTCGGTGGAGTTCAGGCCGGAGGGGGGGTTGAGAGAAGGCGGGCCTCAGCGTCAATGATCCATTGGACCACAGTGTCAAGGGAGGCGCGGGGCTGAGCCTCAGTGAAGGCGATGACGCGCACTTCATATTGAGGGGAGAGGCCTTCGAGGAGACGGTAGATCTGAAGGTTGGGGGGGAGAGTAGTCTGGCGAGCCTCAAGGCGGGAGGCAAGGTCCAGGAGACGGCTGGTGTAGTCAACGGCGCCAGCACTGTGTTCGATCGTGATGCTGAAGTATTCCTTGAAGAGCGGTCCGACAGCATCGAAGTCGGTGCGTTCGAACATTGCCTCAAGCTCGAGCCAGATCTGGCGGGAGCCGATGCGACGTGCCTGGAAGTTGCGCATGAGCGCAGACGGGATGGCAAGGAGAAGGGCACCAGTAGCACGGCTGTCCGCCTCGAGCCAGGCGCGACGACGCTCAGCAAATCGCGCAGAGTCAGCGGCATAAGCGGCGGCGGTAGCGGCATGCTGGGTGCGGAGGGTTGCCGACCGCTCGTGTTCCTGCAACGCGATCAGGTAATCAGTATGGAGCACGAGGAACTCACGACGCTGAGTAAGGAAGAGCTGCTCAACTTCAGCGGTGGCAGCGCGAGTGCTGGTGCGAACGGGTACCATGGGGGGCGGAGGTTCCTCGCCGGGATGGGGAATGAGAGGGGGGGGATCGCCAGGGTGAGGCGGCGGGTCCCCAAGGTCACCCTCTGGGAGACCAAGCATGATGTCCAGGAGGCGGAACGGCAGGACATAAGCACTGCCGAGGACGCGGTGGAGGCTGCCGACGAAGGAATACCAGTTGGTTGCTGAATTGTCGGCGGCGCACGAGATGATCGAGGGTCGAGACGTCGACGGGAGGGGGAAAGGATGCCATTGGTGACACGGAGTGGGAGGAAGGCGACGGCGGGTGGACCCGCGGTGGCCGGGAGGGAGCGGCGGCGGGTGGACCCGCGGCGGCTCAAAGGGGAGGAGAGGATGGGGATGGCTGTAGATACTGCTGCTGCTGCTGCTGCTCCTTCTGCTGCTGCTGCTGCTGCTGCTGCTGCTGCTGCTGCTGCTGCTGCTGCTGCTGCTGCTGCTCCTTCTGCTGCTGCTGCTGTTGCTGTTGCTGCTGCTGTCGCTGCTGCTGCTGCCACTGCTGCTGCTGCCGCTGTTGTTGCTGCTGCTGCTGCTGCTCCTTCAGCTGCTGCTACGGCTGCAGCAGTGGTAAGGCGGCGATGAGCAGGTGCAGGTGAGGAGGCAAAAGTTGGGGAAAGTTGGCAGTTAGCTGATGAAAATAGGACTTGGTAGAAATTTCAGTAGCACTTCGTGATCACATCCAGGAAAGTGTGCAAACTTCGGAAAGCGATATCTGACAATCCAAGCGATGAAACAGTCCGAAATTTTAGGACGTTGTAGCTGACATCAAGAGCGTTCTTTTGCATGTCAAATTACTCAATTCTGTCAACTGTCGAGCGAGCTATGGCGTTTGGCGCATTGGGGGTTTTTGAAAATCCACCCAACAGAAAACTAGTTGAGAGGCGGCGGCTAGGAGTCTAGCAGCGGCGATGGAGGGGACGGCAATGAGGTGCACGTCGGAAGGGGACGGGGCGGAAGCGTGGGGAAGGATCGGGATTTAAAAGTTGGCGTGAGCCATTATTGCTCTATACCATGTTAGAAACAGAAAGGTTCAGTTTATTGATGAAGCAAAGGCATTACATAGGAAGAGAGAGATGAGCTAGGAAGGGAAGGTTGGAAGGGAAGGGGGGGTTAGGACCAATCACAAGGGAGGGAGGCTCCTTCCAAATGTGGTTGACCACCAGTTGGAGGTGGTCCAAGTGTAGTGTACCACCAGTGGTTTAGCCAACCCACTTGTGGTGCCCCCACAATTGTGGTCCTTGTGTTTGGGGGCTCCAACCACAATTGGGTTGGATTGACACCCCAACACAGGTGTACACCCAACTAGGGATGTAAACACAATATACACAACTAGCATAGCATGGTATATTCTAACAAGGAGCAGAGGGGCAGAGGAGCGGTGGAGGAGAGGAGCGGCAGAAGAGAGGGGCGGAGGAGGAGAGGAGCGGAGGAGGAGAGGAGCGGCGGAGCAAAGGAGCGGCGGAGCAGACAAGCGGAGGAGGAGAGGAGCGTCAAAGGAGAGGAGCAGAGGGGCAGAGGGGCAGAGGAGCAGAGGAGCGGGAGGAGCAGAGGAGCGGAGGAGCAGAGGAGCGGAGGAGCAGAGGAGAGGAGGAGCAGAGGAGCAGAGGAGCAGAGTAGTGGAGGAGGAGAGGAGCGTCGGAGCAGAGGAGCGAGAGGCAGAGAGGAGCGGAGTAGCAGACGAGCGGAGGAGGAGAGAAGCGGCGGAAGAGGAAAGGAGCAGAGGAGCGGAGGAGCGGAGGAGCGGAGGAGCGGAGGGGCAGAGGAGTGGAGGAGAGGAGGAGCGGCGGAGGAGAGGAGCGGAGGTGGAGAGGAGCGGAGGAGGAGAGGAGGGGCGAAGCAGAGGAGCGGAGGAGGAGAGGAGCGGCGGAGCAGACAAGCGGAGCAGGAGAGGAGTGGAGGAGGAGAGGAGCAGAGGGGCAGAGGAGCGGAGGAGCAGAGGAGCGGAGGATGAGTGGAGCGGCGGAGCAGAGGAGCGAGAGGCAGAGAGGAGCGGAGTAGCAGACGAGCGGAGGAGGAGAGAAGCGGCGGAAGAGGAAAGGAGCAGAGGAGCGGATGAGCGGAGGAGCGTAGGAGCGGAGGGGCAGAGGAGTGGAGGAGAGGAGGAGCGGCGGAGGAGAGGAGCGGAGGTGGAGAGGAGCGGAGGAGGAGAGGAGGGGCGAAGCAGAGGAGCGGAGGAGGAGAGGAGCGGCGGAGCAGACAAGCGGAGCAGGAGAGGAGTGGAGGAGGAGAGGAGCAGAGGGGCAGAGGAGCGGAGGAGCAGAGGAGCGGAGGATGAGTGGAGCGGCGGAGCAGAGGAGCGGAGGAGGAGAGGAGGGGCGGAGCAGAGGAGCGGCGGGGCAGAGAAGCGGAGGAGGAGATGAGTGGAGGAGGAGAGGAGCGTCGGAGAAGAGGAGCAGAGGGGCAGAGGAGCGGAGGAGCAGAGGAGCGGAGGAGCAGAGGAGCGGAGGAGGAGAGGAGCGGCGGAAGAGAGGGGCGGAGGAGGGGAGGAGCGGAGGAGCAGTGGAGCGGAGGAGCAGAGGAGCGGAGGAGGAGAGGAGCGGAGGAGCAGAGGAGTGGAGGAGGAGAGGAGCGGAGGAGGAGAGGAGCAAAGGGGCAGAGGAGCGGAGGAGCAGAGGAGCGGAGGAGCAGAGGAACGGAGGAGCAGAGGAGCGGAGGAGTAGAGGAGCGGAGTAGGAGGGGAGCGGAGGAGCAGAGGAGCGGCGGAGGAGAGGAGTGGAGGAGGAGAGGAGCGGAGGGGCAGTGGAGTGGAGGAGCAGAGGAGCAGAGGAGTAGAGGATCGGAGGAGGAGAGGAGCGGAGGAACTTGGGCAGACTGCATGGGAGGATGGAGGGTGCCTGGACGTTGGAATTTGAGCAGTTTGCAGGGTGAACATAGGGTGGCTGGAGGGGGGATGTGGGGAGAAGGGTCAAGGGAGAAGGACAGGGGGTAGGCAAGTTGGGGGAAGGTGGGAGACACGGGGAGGACGAACGCACAATATACGGGAGGAGCCATGGCTTCGTATGGGTGTGTTTGGAGCTTCCCCTCTTGACTGCACTAAGAGCTGTGTTAGTTAATCTATAATTCGGCTGCCGACAATATATTACAAGTACCAGGGTCAGTGGACCTTGCACATTGTTTGGCACACCATGCCAGGTTTAGTAGGTTTGGAGAAGGCACAACCAGGAACACAAGACTCATATGTATAAATACTCTAGGCAGAAGGGGGCTAGCTGAAATCGTCAGCCACAAGAGTGGCCATTGGACACACATGTTGCACGGCCTCATGGCCATGTTTACTGATTGATTACCCAACAAGCATCCTTAAATCATGTTTATTGTAACACTCAACAACTTAAGACCCATATGGCAAGCGAATACCGTCCCCAACCACCGATGACCCCAGCTGTGTCACCTCCGCCTAGGATCTTGAGATGCCCAACCGCCTGTGTTACCACGCGCAAGTTGGGGGCGCAACCTGCCGCCGGAAGGAACCTGCCACAAGAAAACCAAACAAAGACCCCTTGAATGAACCTCAATCCCATAAAGCATGGTCGACTGCACTAGCGTTGTACGTGACGAGGCGGTCAGGCATGGTATCGGATTCCAAAATTTGAATCAATGAGTTGTTTTACACCACGTAACGCATGGTATCGGATTCCGAAAATTGAATCAATGAGTTGTTTTTCACCACGTAACGCATGGTCAGGCAGCTGCTGTAATAAAAGTGATCGCAATTGGTGATATGATACGGCAGACTCTGGCAGGGCGTCCAACACTCAGACCCCCCCAACTAGCTCCTCCCCTCAAAGCTGTCCCCCTCACGTCCATCCCCTTCGGTGTTCTCCCCATTGTTGCTCTACCCTTCCCAACGTTGCCCCACCCAGCTCTACCCTTCTTAGCACACCCCCTCTCAGCAATACCCCCGCTGTGCTTCTCCCAAAGCAGTCTTCACCATCTCTTAGCTCTCCCCTGCCCATCTATGCTCCACCACTCAGCACTCCCCCTCCTAGCTCACCCCCTCGCAGCTTACCCCCTCGCAGCTTTCACCCTCTCAGCTCTCCCACTCTCGGCTCACCCACTCTCTGTTGTCCCCCTCTCATCTTTCCCCTTCCCAACTTTCCCCCTCTCATCTTTCACTCTCTTAGCTTTCCCCCTCTCAGCAATACCCTCTCAGCTCTCCCACTCTCAGCTCCCCCCCTCGCAGCTTCCCTCCTCTTAGCTTCCCCCCTCTCAGCTTTCCCCCTCTCCGCTCTCCCCCTCTCAGCTCACCCCCTCTCTACTTTCCTCCTCTCAGTTCTGCTTTTCCCATCTTTGCCCCACTCAGCTTTCCCCCTCTTAGCTCAACCTCTCCCAACTTTCTTCCTCCCAGCTTTCCCACCCCCCCACTTGGCATTCCACCCGTCAGTTGTCCCGCCCTTTCCTTTTCCCGTCATTGCTACACCCCACCCACCATCTAGGCAAGCGCATTTGGTAGCAAGGCTACTACTTACCGGTGGCAACCACTGCAGGGGTTGAATCAGCCATGGTGGCGCAACGGTGACCGAGGAAGTGTGATGGTGCAGCAAAATGCATGGCAAACAGAACACGATAAAGGTACACTCGACCAACCAAAGAAGAGCCGCGGGCTGGCGCATCTCTTCGGATGGGCGTAGGGGTGCCAACCCCTGTGATACCACTGCCGCATCCGAGGGAGTCAATGCAGCCGGGGTTGAAATGCAGCTTGAGATATCTCATAGGCATCGAGTCACCGGAGGCGGCTGGTCCAGCAACGGTGCATGGGCGCACCACCCGGATGTTCTCGGTGAGACAGTTATCCCCGGCTGCCTCATCTCCGCCCTCCTCCACCCCCATCGTCAGCCTCCTCAGGGTCGTCCTCAAGGTCCTCCTCACCCGCCCGCAACCACTGCTCCATGATCTCTTCTACCCAAGACCAATCCATGGGCCCCAAGATACGAACCGCCGAGCCCAGTTGAACCCGTGTCACCCGCCTCACCCGTATGCGATACCCCTTCACGAGGCGGTCCACACAACTGTTCCAGTGCAAAACTGCTAATGCAACTAGTGCCACCATACTACCACGAAACCGCAACCGTTTCGGAGCATACTTGCACACCAACGAATGAAATGATTCATTGAGTGAGCTGTTCGCTCCTCGGATGAAAGGCGCCACCTGTGCTGGCTGTTATAAACACAATAGGCTTAGATGTGCCTATAATGAGAGATAGAGAGCACAGTCGGATTTCCGTCAGACGGCTTCAAATATTGATAACGATCTGGTCGCTGAATCAAACGGTGATCTGTAAGTTGGATCTGGAGCGCGTTGCTATCGCCTATCAGCAGCAAGTTGAATCATGAAATTCCATGAAGGTTTGACGACGCTATGGCGGTTTGACTGGCAGGAGGTACAGCAGCCACTATAGTCTTGGAAGTACAAACTTAGCAAGAAGAGTTCGAGAGGGAGATGGTTCCCAGCCTCTACATACCCCAAGAGCCGAGGTCCAGGTTGGTGGTACACCACCGCAGAGTCCCCAACCATGAAGAGTCTCGAAACCAACCCTCCAAGGGGCTACACCAAGTGAAATATAACACTACACGAAGTAGCGTTACTATTTTCACTATTTAATATTTATCCGTGTCCCTTGGGCTTGAAATCTTGAGCTCTTGGTCTTGGTTCTGCAAGATAAATTCTTCTTGAGTTAATGGGGGCTTGCTGCACACACCTGCGACACGATGGACACTTCACACTCGACAAAATAGAAAAAACACATGCGACACGCAAACGACGACTTGACATGCGAGTTGTAAAAACCCGCTAATGTCTTGACCGACACAAACCACATTATGATACACCATTCAAACACACACACAAGCACTGGATAGCAATGACATAGACTCACAATTCATTCCATGCCATGCATGCACACACACAAACAAGGACGACAAGCCGAGTGCAAGCCATAGGGTTGCCCCAACACTGGCCCTAGCCTCTTCTCGAACCACGCGGACACTGCCTTGTGTGCTGCTGACCCCTTTGCATAAATAACACTCTCCTCTCCCCACCCCTCGGAAATACAGCGGGGCGGAGTCGTTCCCGGGCGCTGACAGCGGGAATGATCCCCCGCCCAATGATCCGCTGCACAACCCAACTCCCCTGACACCTCCTCCTGGGTCATGGGCATGCCATTGGCCACACTTGCAGCACACCGCAGAATGACATGCCTGAAATGCGTTCGAAGTCGCTGCGCGACGGTGAACTCAAGGAATTTTGTACGGACCCTTTTCCCGGGCTGACCCGCCCCGCGTTCGAAATTGGAGGTACGGTTTTTCGCACTGCATGCTGACCATCGCCGTTCCTTTGTGCTCAAGGTGGTAGCAGGGCCTGCACAACCATAGTATATGTAAAGTGTAAAAAAGATGCTAGAAACATGCATGCCAAAACACGATAGGTGGGGGTTACCAGAACTATGCAAGCTCGGCTACCTATTGAGGGGGTTGATTCCGGTGCCGAATTGAAGCAATGACCCATGAAATCACGCTCTTCTCGACCGCCACTGCATGCGACAGCAACCACGATTGATGCTTCCGAGGACGGGCGAAAACCGTGCCGGGGGTGGATGTCATAGCTCCACAACTCAGCCACGTCTGCCCAGCGCACATCCACCGACATCGAACCCTCGGCTGACCCCTCCACACACTCCCCCTCCGCCTGCTGTCCATCTCGTGATACGGGATCAGTGTTGTCCCGTATGGAGTGTATCACCGAGAACAGCACTGTCACATCCACCGTCTCTGTGTCCGCGCCGTCCTCCCCTTCGATCTCCTGTGTTGCTCCTCCCCCCCACCCCCTCTGCGCTCACCACTTGGCGCAACTCTGGGTGCATGTATTTTGCATCTGCGGGCTTCACTACACGAAACTCGACATGGAGCACCGTGCACACTGCTGCAATCAGCCCTTCTTTCCAAACCGTCCCACATACCAGTTCAGGTGCTTTGTCAAGCAGCCATGCGCAGAGTTTGGACACCGTGTGCGGGTGTAGATCTTCCACGACCTTGGTGTCAGCGATTGCAACCACTGGCCTGAGCAAGTCCTGCACCTCGACCTCAAAACACCTTGACACCGAACACCGCTTATGCCACCAATCGACTTGGTGCGGAACCCCTCTCTCTGCTGCGGCGGTCTGGAAAGTCCCACTCTCATCAGTCACGATACCCTCCATCTCAAACCCGGTCTTGGCTAGGAAATCCATGCCGTTATTGAAGGCTATACCCTCCAACTTGGGAGAGGAAGGGTCGTGCTCCCAATTTTTAGTGTTTTCAACATGGAGAATCTTCCGACACTCTGGATGCAGAAATGACACGGTGCACCACTCCGCTTCCCGTGCCTGGGACCATCTCCCATCG